CATCCCTCCCCGCCCCCCCGAGGGGCTGGCGGGGCGTGTTTTGGGCAAGGGTTTTGGCTGCTTCGTGTGCAGGGCCCAGCCGGTGTGGGGGGTGCGGATGGGCTCAGGTGCTGGCAGCCCGCGGGGGTGGGGGTGAAGGTTCTTTCCAAAACGCACAGCGCTTCTGGCCAGCTGGAGAGGAAAGGGCTGTGCTGGGGTTTTGGCCTTAGCGTATCAGTCACCTTCAGGCCATGAGGTCCGATGCTCATCTTGCTTTTAATTTGGACTTATCTGGAGCTGCTTGTTCCTTTTGTCACACGGTACTGTGCAGTTTTCAGTCATCATTTCCGTGCGGCGTTGCGGTAGACTGTGCTCTGCTGTAAACAGTTTTCAAGTAGAGAAGTTTACTTTCTGCCTAAGTTAGTAGGACAGGCTTTCAGCGGGGAGGGGGCTGTGTGTGCTTGCCTGAATATCTTATAGAATGGTTTAGGTTGGAAGGGACCTTGAAGATCATCGAGTTCCAACCCCCCTGCCATGGGCAGGGACACCTCCCATCAGATCAGGTTGCTCAAAGCCCCATCCAACCTGGCCTTGAACATCTCTAGGCATGGAGCTTCCACAACTTCTATATTTCTGCCAGTCAGAGCAAGGAAAGCATCAAAAGGTAGTTTCTGTTTTGTTTTTCTTGCATTAAAATAACTGCATGTGTTGGCTCAACTGTTAAGCACAGAAACATCTGTCGAAACTAACATGTCGATGACTGCGTAGGTGAGAGCTGCTTGTTTCAAAGAACTGGTGGTGAAAGGCCACGGCTGGGACAGCGGCCCATCCATCCCTTGTGAAGTTGGTGTCGGTGATGGAGAGTGAGCCCTTGCGGTAGGAGAAGCTGCCCTGTGCCGGGAGAGGCCAGGGGTGTCCCACCACGGTTAGCAGGTGCGGCTGGGGTGGGCTGCTGGCAGCTTCAGCTTCTTCCTGCCTTTTGATTTCCGGAGGTGGAAGTTCAGTTCTGTGATACTTATTATCTTGGGTGCAAACCGAAACTCTTGAAGTTTTACGTGACGGCGTCTGTCAGATGTTGGCAGGAGAGGTGGTTCGTGCTAGTTGGGTTGGCTTGCTGAGCTGAAGTGCTTGCAGTGCGCTCTGATCGCTATGTCCTAATGGCTTTTTGGTCATAATAAACATCAATATGCTGTGTAGGCTGATTGCTGTACCTTCATATATTAACACAAACATTTCTTCTAAGTGTAATTGCTGTTGTACTTTAGAAGGAACAGTGACTTTCACAGCTGACCAGTTTTGAATACTATTCATGCACATTTGAGGCCAGCGTAATGTAGCAAAAGAATTAATTTGAAGAGCTGCTTCATTGTGTCTGTCTCTTTTTAATAGCTCTGATGACAAGGCACAGAGAATCAACAAAAGCAAATGGCTGGAGGTGGCTTTTGTTGCTTTGGGGAGTAGTCTATTGAATAGTGAAAGATTAGAAGATAAGCACATTAACACAAAGCACAAAAAATTGCTTTCTGCTAAAGTGTGTTAAAGCTTAATTTGGGGAGAAGTTTGAAAAATTGTATTTTTTAAGCACTTTAAAATTCACTATACTTACTTGATACTGAAAGTTCGTTTTTTCCAAGTGCAGGTACAAAGTTCCAAGTACAGCAATCAGATACGCTTATAAGGTTGTAACGTACCAGCACAGGCTTGCCTGTGTATATAATACTCTGGCAGAACATTTGCAGGGGTGGGGGGTGGGGGGAAAGACTGCGCTGCATCTTGTGTGACATGTCAAAGGTGTGCGAAGTATAATGTTTTGACCTAATGCATAATGGCATTGGTTAAACTGAAGGCTGCCTAAACTTTAAAACCTGTTATGGACATATTGGCTGAATTTTTTGGTTGTTATGGGGATTTTCTGAAGGCTTATATACATTTCTGCAGAATGTGTCTCACAAGGATTAGCTTTCAGGATGGAAGAATACCAATATCAGCTTCCTGAGGAATATGAATTAGTACTGAATAACTGAATGAGGTTTTTCTTGTTAATGCTGCAGTGAATGTTGTTTCCCCGTAACCTCTCCATCTTGTTAAATTAGATGTCAAGACCACTTAAAATTCATTTTAGTCTTGCTGTGCATACTGCTTTCATACTACTAGGAGTATGATTGCTGTCACTGCTCAGTTTGATGCTATCTAAAAGCCATACATAATATCATGACTTAATCCCAAACCTGCCAGGAGCAGAACATCATCTGTGTAACCTGTACCCAGCAGTCTTTGGCAATAACTCTTAAAACACAGTTGCAACTTAAAATTTCTATTCTTCTGGGGGCTTGTCTAATTTTCGAGTGATTTTGTTTTTTTTCTAGGCGTGTTTTGGGGAGTCTCTGGCTTTTTGTGACTTTCTATAACTTTTCAGAGAGCTCAGAAGTGAGTGTAATGAGATCAGTATGGCATTCTTCATTTCTCCTGACTCGGCAGACTAATCCTGTAGTATATGTAGTACTTGCAAATCCAGGATTTTTTTCCCAGCTAAACTGTAGACCAGAAATGACAATTCACAGTTTCTGGGATGCTGCACCAATATGTTGAGATATGGTAGGAAGAGGAACCTGACACATCTTGCACCTTTCAATAACGCACACTATTAAGGTGAAGGTCATTAGAATGCCTGCAGTGCCAGTGCAGTTTTTCTGCAACTGTATCATAGTGTTGTGAAAAATCAGGGGGGTTTAAACCATGCTACCCAGGAAAGGAATGTGATTTTTTTTTTCTTTCCTTGCTTACCATAAGCATGGGCATGTATTTTCAATTCACCTGATTATTGTGGAATTTATTTTGTACATTTATGAAAAAAGTAATCTTCCTTTTGGACGTCTGAAACCGGTGCATGGTTCATGTGTCATTAAATTAGAAACTGCAGGAAAACAAAGAACCATCTGGAGACTTGGTGGGGGGGAGGTTGATGTTTTTGGTTGAATGTACTATCAACACAGGAAAAACTATAGAGTGTTTCAGATAGAAAAGGAGACAAAGAGTGCTGGACATTTTGTCTGATTGAGTTCTTTGGAGGTTTTTTGTTTGTTGTTTGTTTTTGTTTTGTTTTTAAACCATCTTCTTTTCATAATTAGGTGAAGCACCAGAATGAAAGACATGGACAATATCAAAACTGCAAAGAACGAATGGTAGGTGCCAGTTCCCCCTCCCCCTTTTCCTCTGCCTTTCCTATTGCTGTTTGTGTGTCCTGTTGTGACTTTTCAAACTTTATGTTGAATTTTAAAATTTTAATTTTTTTTCTTTATCCACCTGCTCCACATATACTGAAGTTTTCAAAAAAAAAACCAAAAAAAACCCAAAAAAACCCCAAAGCAAACCCAAAACGGTTTTGCTAAAAGATTTTTCACATACTCGGAATGTCTCCTAGATGCAAGAAGCCACATAAATATTTTTATTTAAAATAGAAAGGCAGCCTTACAAATTGCTAACTCACTATTCACTTCTACATTTGATATGGAGGTGTTTGATTTTCCAGTTATATTTCCCAGGTAAAGCATAGTGAATACCTAAATTAACACTTCAAGTTTCTTTTGTTCTATTAGAAAAAAAAATAGGGACAGTATACTTTTGAAATTTCTTCTTTAGTGGTGTTGAATTTTTCTTTTGTTTAAAGATGTTAATCTGTAGGGATTCTTAGTGTTGCATAGATGCACTGCAAACAATTCCTTTTGATGTAAATGTATCTAATTACCATTCAAGTAAGCATTGCTGCTCTTGAATTCAATGCAGAGTTTTATGTAAAACTGAATATTGTTCAAGAGCTGGGATTTTTTTTTTCTGAATTGCTTAAAATAGACTTTTCTGAATCTCCAATAGGAATAACTCCTGCGGTGTTTACCAAAAGCTGCATAATCCTCTTACTATGCAAAGAACCTAAACTGAAAGATAATCATTCATTCAAGTTGCATATTTCTGCATTTTGATTGGTGAAAAATCTAACAGAAACAGCTGTCACATATACGATGTTCTATAAAAAGATGTGGTAGATGTATCTTTTTTTATACTCTGGCAGTCTCCACAGTATTGAAGTCTTCTATTGTATTTCTCCAGTGTTCTCAAGGGGTGTTGAGTCACTTTTCTGGAGTTTCTCTAATGTACTTTTCAAAGACAGTAATGGTGGTTCTGTGCTCTTG